CATTTTACTGCACTGAATCTTAGCAAAGTTTTACATCTGTAATTTTATAGGGATAGTAGCGACCTGCGCTTTGCATCTTAGCCAAACTTTCGCGTGAGGGAAAATCTTGTGCTTTTTGTCAATGTTCAAATGGGGTCATGGTACCATGAGGTAGGAAGCTGTGATCATGCGCTATCGCAAGGTCGACTCTACATTACTTTTTATAAATTCAAAATGATCTGAAAGAACGCAGAGTCTCTAACCCCTGAGTGTGCCGCTGGGTACGGTAAAGAATTGAAAAATTAGATGAGGCACGTTTCTTATTTATAAGAAACGAATTATTGAATGTTATTTTTCGCTATTCCACTTCCTGGAAGAAAAGTCCGTATGCCTTTGATAGACGGTTGTGGTGGACCTCAGGCTGGTCTAAAGAACTATTACCGTATTATCAAACGACTGTGGTTTCTCCTATGTTATAAATATTCATATGGAAAAAATCTCTGTATGCCACACGAACTTCCTCGAAAATTCCATGTTTTTCATAGAGCATCGCAGTAGAAGGCATTTAAAATGGACCTTGAATGGGCACGTTCACAAGAAAGAGTTCTGTAAAAAAACGTATGCGCATGTGATTTAACCGTTCATTTTTTTCTTTGGTTGACTTTTGGACCGGTGATTTCATCATCCGATCAATGTTTACCAGCATCAACTTGCCGCTTGTTAGACACTTCATGGAATCAGTGATATCATCTTTCTTGTGTAATTTCTATTATTGTCTGTCTGGATGAACAGCTTGTATTCTCTCACATGACTGCGTTTTTTGCTTTTTAACTACGGGGTTTGGGGGTTCGCCCTAGCTATTCCATTTTATTCAGGGATGTAAATTGACTACATTGTTAAATTCCAGGTGCAGCAAAATTAATGCGCAGAAGCTCTCCATAAATGAGAGTGCAATCTTCTGTATGGATGGTTTTCTTCCAGCGGACAAATAATTTGCTTTTAATGCTTTAAAATTGCTAGCTAGCTCCGTCTATGTTTTTCACCGTAAAATTTTTGTTTTCTATTTGCAGAATGTCCTTGAAATTCTAAGTGACCGATATTTGTGCATCGAACATTGGACCGAGTATTTTCCTCCAATTATTAAACAAAATGGTAAACTGCCTACTTACAGCTAAGATTGACTTTGGTTAGATAAACTTCTTTATGCTCTTCAGCCGGCAAGGCAAAGTGAGACTGCAAAAATGGTATACATCCATTCCACTTAAAGAGAGAAAGAAGATTGCACGCGATCTTATACCTGTGATTTTGAGCAGAAAACCCAAAATGTGCTCTATCCTCGACTGGCGGGATCTGAAAATCGTCTATCGGAGGTATTTCTGCTTTTATCTGTCTACTTTTGCCGTCAGGTATGCTAGTCTGTACTTCTGTTGCGCCATCGAACCCGAAGACAACGAACTATTAACCTTTGAAATTATTCATCGTTACGTGGAACTACTGGACCGATATTTTGGAAGTGTACGTTAATTCATTTTGGTTCCTACCTTCGATTACTTACTGCCAGAGCCAGTACAAGGTTCTATCGTAAAAGTAGAGTGAGGCAGGGGGACATTTGCATCGCGAACTGACCGCTTTACTTTTTAGCTCAAAAAATTCGATTTATTGGCAAATAAAAATCAACAGCACATTTTTATGGTTCTCGAAAACCCGTACAATTGCTAACCATTTCAATTAGAAGAGGGCGTTTTTCTGTCTTACTGGATA